AATATAAAAATTAAATCAAATATAAAAACTTACTTGTCATTAAATCCGCACACTTCTTCAATGAGTACAGCACGCTCTTGTCTCGTAGCATGAGTTACGCATTTTTCAACAACGTTACTCGCAAATTTATGTTGAGAGAGAGTAAGTACTTTACCTCTAACACTACTAATCAACTGTGCTTTATCTTCTGGCTTACCGTGTTCTTTAAAGCAAAAAAACATACGTAAAAGTGAATTATTTTTTGCGTAAAATATATTTCTAATATTTCTATTTTTTTCTATTTTTTTCTAGTAATTAAACAACACTCACCGAGTACATGCTGGATCACGTAATTGCCGTATTGATCTTGAATGAGTTGATCGGTAGCAGCATGTAATTCTTGAAGAATTCCCTGAGTTTGTTCAGGGGTGCAATGTTCGAGAATACGTTGAATCACTCTGCAACCGTATGGATGAGTACTCAAAGAATAAACTTGGCCAGCGAATGCTCCAATTACGAATTGTAACGCTCGTGGCTCAACACATTCGATACATTTTTGTACAACGTGATTCCCATTTTGATCTTTAACGCATTTTAAAACATGACCGTCCAGTTCTCGGACTATTTCTTGTTGTTGTTCTGGTCCGATCGACTCGAGAGCTTTTTGAATCACTCTACAACCGTACATTTGCAGTGCCAAAGGTAATACGTGTCCTCGAACCTAAAATACAATAATTATATAAAATATAAAATTAAGAAAATCTACAAATTTTCTTCTCCGATTCTATCCCAACCATTGTTCTCAGATATTTAATTATTTTTCGATCAATGTGAAAATCAGTTGACACGCAAAAAAAGAAAAATCATCATTTAAAGCAAATTTTCGTATCGAACTAAATTAAAAATAAGAAACGATCGTTGAAATTACCTTTTGGGCAAGTGTGGATTTCTGTTCTGGTGTACCAAACTCAAAGAATTTCTGAATCACATAATTTCCAAAAACATCGGTCATCAATGAATAAGCAGAGGTAAGAATTTCTTGAAACACAAGTTGCTTTTCGCTAGCCGAGGCGCGTTCTAATTTCTGCTGAATAAAACGGGAACCGTGCTGATCTTGACTGAATTCAACTATATGATTGGCCAGATCACGTAGCTGAAGACTCGGGAATCTGAAGCATATGAGAAATTGCTCGTAACGTAAGCTGGCTGCCATGCTGATAATACCATATCTCCTCCTTCTTTCTCCTTCCCTCCCCCTCCCCCAAATGATAACTCGAAGATTACTCGTACCGATTATTCCTGAAGTCTTCTAGCAAACGTGATCGTCCACCGGCGTTTTTATCTCCGATGCTGGTCGTACCACCGCGGCCAGGTTTGCCCACCAAGTTCGGGAAAAGGGAACTACTAGAGCCGAAAACCCCGTTAGCTGTTAAAGCTGGAACCGCGCTGGCCCGGAATTTGGCCTCGGCGCCGGGGGCGGCGGATACACGGCTGGCTCCACCGACAAGCCCGCCTAAAGATCCTCCCAAAGTTGGCGGCGGTGTCAAGGATAATCCCAACGGGCTTGGCGATGCTGTTACCGTGCCTGTAAATAAGATCGAGGCGATACGTAGTGGGTAAACGTACCTAAAACGTAAGGGAGTATAGAGTACATAAACACCAGGGTTTATCCCATACCTAAGGCTCCGTAACTCTGTGGCCACTTGGCGCGGCTGTATTCTAAACTAGGACTGAAAGCAGATGTATTTCTATCGAAGGAATCTCTTCGCGCGGTTGAAGAAGCGCCAAGGCCTAAACCTGTGAACAAAAAAGAAGAGACGCAAGATTTTGAAACGTCGAAATTCACCGAGAGAGATGGAAACGTACCGGATGCTCGAGATACTCTGATTTTTAAAGACACGAGAATTAGAAGATCACTTGGGAGGATCGCACGTTGTAAAATGACAATTGTGTAAAGACAAACGATAGGCTTTCGCAAAACATGCAAACAAATCGTTATGTACAAAAAGAGAGGTAGATAGATATATAGAGATAGAGAGAAAGAGAGAGAGAGAGAAGAGAAAGACAGAATCGAGGACACCGACGACGCCTGAAAACTGAAATAACAGCCGTTTCAAAAGATTCTCTTGTTCGTCGTCTATTGACGTGTACCTGTGCTCTGAAGCTGAGCGGGCGAGCCCAATGCCCCCAGAGGGGAG